CAGCAACTAGTCCCTTGACTAAGTCAGGGACTAATCGAGGGTTAGGGTTAGGGTTAGGGTTAGAATAAAACAAAGAAAACAGAAGAAGTAGATAAGTCAAAAGAAGAAAAGCGAAATAGAGACAAAGAAAAGTAGTCAGGTGAACACTAAGACAAAGATAAACAATAGTCAGTATCATTAGTAGAGAAGATACCAAGAAAAGGAGGAGATAACAAGAGGAATGAAAGACTCACACGGATCGAGCTTGGAATCGGTCAGCGGTAAAATTGTGAGAAGAAGAGAACGATTTATGTTAAGGAATCAAAATAAAAGATCAAAATCGAAATAAACTAGAGGAAGGAGATAAAAGAATAAATTGATTAGTAATAGAACAAAAGATAGGAGAGAATTAAGAGAAACAAATAAACTTACCTGAGAAAGATAATTGAAAATCCAAAGCAAATAGAAAGGAAAGATTGAAATCGATAAGTCGTTCACGGAAGGAGCTAGAGATTGAGTCAATTAAAAGAATGATAGTTTAGTAATAGGTACAAGAAAAAGGAAGGAGATAAGAGAAAGAACATACCTGGGTTTTAAACAACAACTGATCGAGTCGAATAGGGGTTAAAATAACAAGCAATTGAGTCAAATAGGGGCTAAAATAAGAAAAGAATCGGTCGGAGCGAAGTAAAATAAAAGAGAATCGGTCGGAATCAAAAGAGAAGAATCGGTCGGAGTTTTGAGGATGGAAAGGTATAAAAGGGAGGCTAGTTGAGGAGGGGAGGAAGGGTTCTGGTTCATGGTAGAGGATCGTATTGGATCGATCAATTGGAGTTTTGTTGCGTCTAGAGTAATTTTGAGCCAAGTGGTAGTGGTTTTAAGATTGAGTGGTCAATCTAAAGTGTTAAAAGGTCTCTAGTGTTCCAGTTTTTGAAGAAAAGATTAAAGCGAGTTAAATTTTGTTGTTAGCTTGTTATAAATTTAAAGAAAGTGTTAAAGAAAGACTTACGTGGAGGAATCAAGTTGTTGAGTGTTAAATTAGTAGTCTTGCTGTTGAAGAAGAGGAATAAGGGTGTTGTATTTTTTTTTTTTTTTTTTTTTTTTTTTTTGAGATCTGACTACTCGAGTACAAGGCCAGTCAGGGCCGGGGAAAAGGACTGAACCTGGGTACAATTCCAGGCCAAGTTGTGTTTTTTTAAAAATTGTTTTTTTTTTAAAATTTGTTTTTGTGTGTGGCTCAGTTGTTGTGGGAGGGATAAATAGGGTTTAGAAAGTGTGAATATCCTTGTACGGGGGAAATTAGGTTTACGGGAAACTTGTAAAGGCGGAAGTGTTCAAAAAGTGTCCTACGTATTTTTTTCGTACAATTTTTTCAGGTTGAAGGCAGCTTCACAGCACCGTAGTTTAATCCGTTCTTCTAGGCGGTGATTCTTACCTTCTCCGGCTCAGCCTACGCTACACGCGTAGGAGTTCTACAACGTCCACAATTGACTAAGTTCCAAATTCAAATCATCCAAACTTAAAAGCACACTACCGCAACAATCAAGCTTGACTTTTACACAAACCAAATCTTGCACCTTGAATATGGCAACACCCAAAATGCCAACTCTATTACGCTCAGCACCGCCATCAGCAGGGAACCATATTGTGTCCCAACTTGAATCCATCACCACATTGTTTGATTTGCAAACTCCCAACACCCAAACAACTGATAGTCAACCTGCACCTACTAGCACCCAACAAAACACTACTGTTCAAGCACAAGATATACGTAAATGCCGCAACACCAAGCACAACAACAAGAAGAACAAAAAATTGAAGACACCCGGTAACCCCACGCCCAAAATCAACATCGCCAATATACAAGCCACAGATAAGAGCGCTGTTGAACTCAGGTGCTTAGCTGAAAAGCACGCTCAGACTGGTATGAGCCAAGGAGTTCTCCAATGTGCTCAACTTTCATGAAGAGATGCAAACACTCACAGCCATCAAGGCTCTTGAGCTTGGAACTACTGTATCAGCCATCAAAGAGATATTGTAAGTTACTTCCATACATTACGGGATTGTTCAAGTTGACTAACATTATCTAAACTGCATGTGTAGCGGCAAGTACATGGGGGTACGTCAACCATTGACTTGGAATGGATTTCTTCAAAGCGACGTGGCAAAGGTAATCTTCAAATTAGGCAAGTTGTATGTTGTTGTATAACAAAACCAAAGGATCCATTTTGATTAACATGGGTATATGTATTAATGTGTTACAAACAGCCGTTGGCATTGACAGCGGCAAGGCTTTGCGTTGTTTAAGCGCTAAGTGGGGTGAGAAGGACAAAGCTGAAAAAGAAACTCATAAACAAGTCAAAAATAACACCACAGATGCCAATGCCGCCCTTGACAAAGTTAATCCTAACCTTGAGGATGAACTGACCGGATTAGATTTTGGGACGCACGCCTTACACAAAATCCTTCAGCCCTCCACCAACTTCCTGTCTAACGCTTGGTGTTTCAAAAAATTGAAAACCACTGCGGAACACCTACTGGACAAAACTTTAGCCAAGGTCATTCATTAGTTATAACACTTTGCTTTGTGAAATTGACTCTTTTCCATAACAGTGTATCCCTGTCCCCAAAGCCAACTCATTTGAAGTGGCCATCATAGCAGTCTCCAACCACATTGCCAAACACAGTTTTCAAATGACAAAGAACACTATCAGACTCAACAAAGCTATTGAAATCATTTACAAAAGCAATGGCGTTAAGGCACTTCCTGTACAGTTGCAGGCATTCCTGGTTGGCCATACACCTCAAGTCCTGTCGACTAACCTAGAAAGTAAGTTTCCCATCTGGTCAAATTGTATCAATAGGTGCTGAAATGCGTAATTGTGAAGATGCTGGCCAAAGGTATCAATCACACGTAGTTCAAGCACTCTCCATGTTTTTATGTAAGCAATTCCTTTATACTTCATCAATACATTGATATTAAGTGTAACTTCTTTAGTTGAGAGAACCGACTTGAAGCATTGGCCTTGGAGTCATTGTGATAAGACGCTCGCCAACGCCGGATACAAATTGAAATTATTGCCGGTAATTTTGTTTATTAAAGACAATATGTTCCAAATTAGGACTCTTCTTCAAGCCATTCATCTTTATATCCCAGCTATGACTACTGTTTTCTAAGTCTGTGACAATTGTTCTAACATTCAGCAACATTGGCACCTGTAACCATGAAACCTCTGATCCCATAGCATCAGCATAACTAGATATTCAAAATCCAATGACTCTTGAATTTGGAAAATTCCAATTTGCAACATCTTCCATGATGTCCTTGGTGAATTCAGCTGTAAATAATCCTTGTAAAGTGTCTTTATAAGATTCAAAAAAGTTAAGGATACCATCATCACCAACCCACCCATGTGGAGTATGAAGAAGTTCAACCACTTTGAGAGATTTGTTGACAGCTTGGACAATATGACAGTTTACTTCATGCTCTTCCCCAGGAGCTAGAGATAAGGAAGATATGTTGAGAAGATGTTGAGGTTGTAATATATCTGTAATTCCTTCTAAAATATCTTGATCTTCACATTGAAGTACTAAAGATTCAAGCTTAGGTAGACAAGATGTTAATGCCAAGAATGAATATGGGTTGTAATCCCCCATAGCAACTCTGTATTCATGTGATAGATGCAAGGCTTTGAGATTCTTGATGGTTTCAACAGCTTCTTCATCCAGATAAATTGCCATACAGCCAACAAATGTAATGTCTAAAGTTTCTAAGTTTGTTCCAAGTAAGTTGATTAATTTTGATAATTGATCCATTGAATCTAGTTCTATTTTTTTCATACAAAGTATCAACAGCAAAACGATAAGTCAGTCGGACATTTATAAACTGATGAAATCAAGATTATTTCATTTACCATCCTCTTCACTTCATAAGCCGATAACGGGAGAGGCTCGCTCTACTACTTTTGACATGACAAAAACCATCCTTCCAATTTTCCAATATCACATTTGCATGTTTTGAACTTTTGATTGAGATTGCTTCAAACTGAAATTTTCTAATAATCTTTGAAAAAGCTGTAGAAATTAATGTCAACCCAATTAATTTTGTGTATGATGAGCTTGTGAGGTAAGGTTTTGAGGTAAGACCCTCTCAAGGTTCTGTCTTTAGTTGATATACAAACTTGTATAAGAGTTTTTCAACAATTTCTAAAGGTAATGCTGGTGTCATTGTATAATTCTTTTAGATTTTATTTTATAAAGTGAATTATATGTTGAATTGATCGTGATTAGATGTTGAATTGATCGTGATTAGATGTCGATTTGAGTGTGATTAGATGTTGATGGCTGACTTTGATTTTGATTTTGACTTGATTAGAGGTCCGATTGTGATACTGATCTGAATGTGATCTGATTGCGATTATAGGTCTAATTAGATGTAGATCTGATTGTGATTAGATGTTGATTAGATGTTGATGGCTGATATGATTTCAATTTTGATTTTATCTTCACTTCTTCTTGGATTTGGATAGTTACACCACAGGGTAAACGTCCTTGGCCTCTTCTGGCGCCAGGGACGTTCCTAGATGAGACAATTCGAAGATTGAACTCAGAATGGTGTCAGTCCTGTTCTTTATGTAAATGGTGACTGAACTCGTTCTGAATCTAGGGCCACACATGCCATTCTTGCACCATTTCAAACATCATCTTGCCCGGTCATAGAGACCAACCGGCTGTCAGAGACGGGTTGAGCTGGGTCTCTGACACAGGATCCCTATTTGAAACCGTAATGCTTGGGCTTTGGAATCACCTGCAAGTCCTTTAGTAAGGCCACAAATCTTTTTTTCCTGCTACTTTCAACAAGCACATTTTGTACTGTTGCCACAGTGACCAAGGCAATTGCACTTCCATCTTGGTGTAATCAGTGTTCCCCCAGTTTGGTACAATATCCTAGATAAGTCATTCAGACACATTCAGAGGCCTGTGAGCACAAAATTGAATCAAAGTATTTCAACAAACCTACCTGCATGGACAAATTCAAGAGGTGGTGCAAGTGCCCGATTGTCCCTTTTCAACTTGACATTAATCGGAACTACAACCTCAATTCATGGAATATTGGGGTTCTCCCACATCTGGCAAGAATTTTTGTTTTTGCAATAAATCAATTTCCCCAAAGAAGTCAACACATCCGGTTTCTTCTCTCATAAACATGTTGCCTATGATCTAGTCTCGAACTGTCCAGGTCTCTCAGGACCTTCCAGCAGTCTGGAATGTAATGGTCAACGGGACCAATTGGGCAATGGTGCCTATCAAGTGAAAAGCTGTCAGGATGGTTAGCAGCAGTGGGGCTCAAGTTAAGATTAACATTAACTTTGGTTTTGGGGGAAGTTCTGGTGCTGGGAGAGCAATTAAGATAGGATTAGGATTGATAGATCAAGTGCTCAAGGTCAATCTGAGGGTATAGAACAATGCCTATTACAAGCCCAGTCTGCACTCATTGTTTTATGTGCTGTCAAACCAGGACTATGAGGACAAGCCTGTGGGGAGCCTGCCGCAGGATTCGGGGCAACATAGTTGATGTTGGAGTGTTGGTGGTGGAGGCTGTAAAATCAGGTGGTTTGACAGACTGCAAAGTAGATAGAGCCGTACAGTCTGGCTGTCCCTTGATTGGGGGTGGAGGACATGAACAAGCATCCGGGCGTGAACGTGACATATTCAAAGCCGTAAACTCAGGGCACTGCTTATCAATGATAAAAAGAAAAGAAAGGCTAGGTGGAACGGAAGCTTTGGTTGGGAAGTGTCACTTTCGTACTTGTCCATTCTGAGTTTGATGATATCTACAGTGTGCATGCATTACAATGGAGGCAGTGTTATGACATATATATGTCAATGCCAAGTCTGATCAGATCTAAAGTTTGCGTCCATCTCAGGATGGGGGCACGGCCCTTGAAAAGAAAGGCGCACCTAGGCACATTCTTTGAGAAATGGGTGCGCTTGGGCACATCTTCTCACAGTGCAAAAAAAGAAAATTAGAATATACAAAAAAAAATACAAAAAAAATAGATAAAAAAATAGAAAAGAAAAAAAAAACATGAAATAAAAATGAAATAATAATGAAGTAAAATAAAATAAAAAAATAAAAAAATGAAAAATGAAAATGAAAATAAAAAAAATGAAATGAAAAAAAAATAAAAAAAAATGAAAAAAAACCGAAGCCAAGATGTGAGGTCTCCGCCACTTGTTTTGAGTTTTGAGTTTTGAGGTTTTTATTTTTTTTTTGTTATTTTTTTTATTATTTTGAATTTTGTGAAGTTTTTGATTTCTTTGAGTTGCAGCACCCTGAACAACTACTTATCTCTTCAATCTTGCTTAACTCTTCTTTAGATCATTGCTTGATTTCCTTCTCTCAAGTCATTTCAACTTGCTAACAACTCAAATCACTTTGATCAATTTGATTCCATCCTTTTAACTTCTACTTATTTCAACTCTCCTTCCAAATCACTTCCATCCTCTTCAATCAATAGTAAGTTCACTTTATTATCTTGGTCCTATTTGTTCATCATCTCATATTAATCTTATTTCATCTATTTGATTATCTTCCTGGATTCTGCTTTATGACCAATTGTTATTGATTCCAACCTCTAAAATCATCAACTTCAATCAATTTTGCCGTTAACTTTATTGATCACAACTTATAGATTTCTTTAATTCGATTGACTTGGACTTCTGGCTTATTTTACACAAATTGATTTTGCTGTGATCAATCTTGTTTTAAGCCCGCGCAAACCGCTCTGTTACTACATTCAATTTCGACCTCTGAAATCATCAACTTCAATTAATTTCCTTCATTGATCTCAACTTACAATCTTCTTTGCTTCAATCAAATATGACATCTCAGTTACTTTACACCAATAAATTTTGCTTTCATCAATCTTGACTTCCAGTGTACTTGACTAAGATACAATCAAAGTGTGTTCAATTAATTTAACTTTCTATCTTCTTTGAATCAAATTCATCAAGAATGGTTTCAACTAACTCATCTCTTTTATTCCACATTCCACTTCCATCCATCCATTGATTTCAGCTTCTAATCTACTTTACCTGATACAACACAATATCACATTGCTATATAGTCAATTCACATTGATTGATTAGATCAATTATCCAAAGGACTGTCATTGTAAGTATTTGATTAATCTCAATATCAATTTTGTTTGTCGTTAAGGATTGTTTTAACTGGCCACTCCTTTTTATTCCATTCAATTTCAAATTACCATTTACTCTACCTTACCATACCTTCAATTTAATTAGACCAATTAGGTCAATTACCAGAAGAACTATCGTTGTAAGTGTTCATGAATTGATTTTGATGACTATCTTCTTTGAATCCACTCACCCAGAAGTGTTGAAGACACTGGGAGGTATATTCTTTGCTTACATTGGAAGTATCAAGTCTTGCATGCCCTGAAGCTCACAACATTTGTTGTGGGTGTAACCTAGGGCTACCTGACTTGGTCGATAATTCTTTTGAAATCAATGAATGTATCTTTCAGTGTCTTCAACATGGCCTCTTGTCCATTTTTTCCAAGATAGCTGTGCTCTTTGTGCAGTCTAGGTTCAAATCTACTTTATTTGTTTATCATAACTGTGGTTTTGCTGCACGCAGCAGTTATGATATATGAGATATTGACGGATACCTGGTATTGTGTGGGGAACCAAACTATCTGGAATATTTGGGCTTTCTCTTGTTGATCTTGAGTATTTTGGCACACTATAACTGACAAGTTTTTTATTACTAATTTCAAAAACATTTGAGGATGGCTAAGAAGCAACAAAAACATTGTTCCAAATCAACTGAGTTCAAACACAAAAACAATTGAGACTCCGAATGAATCAATATTATCTAACCAATCCAAAGCCCGGGTAGAGTACAGAGAGAAAATCAAAGAGAAGTTTGGTCTGCCTCCTGATACAGCCTTTGTTCAACAAGGAGATCATGCTGAAAACAATTTACTTGAGTTGAAGTATGAAACTGTTGTCATACTTGATACGTCAGGAATGAAGATGATTGCTGTGATCCGTTTTAATGAACGTCAATACATTGAATATGATGGAAAGCATGTTCAGACTGAGGCTAGTTTGAGACTCTTCAAGCAATTTGATCAATCAATGTCGACTATGTATCAACATGGAACCGCACAAAATAAATTTAGAACTAATGGACCAACAATCAGAGTCAGTAAAAACAGAAGAGGTGATATGTTTGCAATTGGAATTCAACCCGGGTATCTTAAAGGAGTTGCTGGAGGTAAGTGATTTGTAATCCTGCTTATCAATTATTTCATTTCTGATTTTGTGGGATCTCAGTACTGTATCACATCAATCGAGTGACGGCTCTCTCAGTGCTACTTATGGACAAAGATCTCAGACGTCAAGAAAATCTCCCGCATATCCAGCACTTTCTAGCTGGAAAATTCTCTTCTCTTGCTCTTGGCGTGTTCCAATCCAATGTTCAGCTCTGTGCTAGATACGGTAATCTTTTATGGGCTTCTAAATTGCTCTTCAACTCACCCAATGGAAATGCCTTTGGAGCCAACTTCGTCATGACTTGCAATGAATGGCACAACACGGTTCACAATGATTGCAATGCAACTGGGTATTCTTTTGGAATATTTGACTTAATGTTTGAGTATGTTTTGAAGCATGTGATGGTGTTGTGGAGATGGTCTGGGCCACCAATGTTAGACACCAAACCACAGAATCCACTGCTCATTATTCCACGGGCCAATGTATCAACCCAAAAGATGCCGTAATCACTTGATTTGGATCATGTCAAGTTTCAAAGTCAATTGTTTCACGAATCAATGGAATTACAAAGTTAAGAGGTAACATGGATGAAGAAGAGTGGAAAAGCTTTTGTGAAACAAAGGTAGAAAATTGTATCATTGACATTAAACGTAAATGTCAATTACTCAGAAAAAACCCGCACAAAACGAGATTTTGAATTACTCCAAGACTGAGAGATGGGAAATCTCAAACTAAGCAATAAGAAAAATTGATTCTGACTTGTAAATAAATAGATGTGGTTGTGGAATTGATAAAAAATGAATAACAATTTCTATGTTCAGTGCACTAATGTTCTCTTTTACACACCACACTTATCCCATTCATGGCTTCCATGATCCTCCTTTGGATATGATTGAGTCCTACAAATGATCACCAACACTTCCAAAAATTGATATGTTTCAATTCTGTATACAGAAGTTATTACTCTTCTTAGACTTCTTTTTTAGGAGATGCAGATTTGTCTGAAGAAATTTTCATCAAAGCAGAACTCAATAAAACTATAACTCTAGTTATCACAGAAAAAGTAGTGAATGAGTATGAAAAATGAAATTTTAGTGAAGATTCTAATAAGAACTCTGATTTAATAGCTCATATCCCCCATTGTTGTGTTGCAGTGAACCCCAATTTTACATGCTAGTCTCTCACAGAGGTGAGACCCAAATTTTCACACCATTTGTTGCATTTGTGCTGAGACAAAAACATCTTCCTCCCATCAAAACCCAAATTCCCACTGCCAAAGGATTTGCTGCATTAGAAAAATGTTGAACGGAAAAATTTGTGTGGATAAAGGACTGTGATGCACCACTTACTCAATATCAATGAATGCTGGGTCTGTAAGTGTACAAACCACACCTTGTAAATCACAAATAAAGGAAAACCCTTTGTTTTCCTCAAAGTCTTCATGAACAAGAGCTTGAAGCATTTCATGGATCTGGGTACTATCCTTTGTATTTGGAGGACTGAAGTTGTTGTTTGCGTCATACTTGACATACTTACTGTCAGCCCCGAGCCCTATAGCTAGTACCAAAGGGCTGAAATATAATAATATAATAATAAAAATAATACCTACAACTCATGGCTCAGTTTCAAGAGCCAATTACATATGAAATTACATATAGTTACATATGTAATGACATATGTAAGTACATGTAGATCAATACGAGAGATTACACGAAGTAATATAACCTTTTCACAAGGCTTATCACATGAGTAACACAAGAGTTACGCATGTGTGTAATAAATGTAATAATCAAATAATTAAAATATGATTACATACTGCAAAAGAGTATGTAATCCAACCACAAGTTGTGCGTAAGGGATTTTCTGGGTTGTGAGTATATAAAGAGCTCTCCCACCCGCCAGGAAAGTGTAAGGAGTACACGAGTAGCTAGGAAGTCATGGGTTTCAAGTCATGGGATTATACAAGCACCACTATACCTTTTCATCTCTATGCCCGGCTTCGAAGAGTCCTCACTCCTCAGAGAGCTAATTGAGTGACTTTTTGGAGCTAGGTGAGATTGTCATTTCTCTTATTCATTTCTCTTATTTCCTTACATTTATCTTCATCTAAGACTCACTCCTCAGAGAGCTAATTGAGTGACTTTTTGGAGCTAGTTTGAAATCATAACGAAGTTCCTAGTCAGCCTGTGCTCTCGTGAGAAGTCGTGCCGGACAAGTTTCCGGACTTTCAGTGAAGGTTCTATAAGAACCTTACACTTTTTTTGACTAGATCACTTCGAAAACCAAAGTCAAACAATCATCTTTCATCATTTTTTTCTCTTTATTTTCACTTTTTTTTCTGTCACTCAGCACCTTTGGTCATCTGTCAACCTGTCAATCTGTCTCCTATAAACTTCAGTCAGTCAAACTCTGTTACCTCGGAACCTACTCTGTACGCAGCAAATCTGTTTTGTGGGCTCGAATGATCGGCGGAGCCTCTTGGAAGCCCGAAAATTATCTTGACGACCCTGATAGCCTCCTTCGAAAAGCTCGCAAGGATAAACAGAAAGAGATCGTGGGATCCCCATCACCACCACCCCCTCCAACCTACTTGCGGAGACCAGAGGCGACAGTTTTGGGATCTCCAGCACCTACGGACCGTATACTATACGCCTCGAGTCATAAACCAAGCCCTCCGGAAGTATCACCTTTACATTTCTCGCCACCAACTGTTTCGCCATCGGCCTCCGAACGGACAGTGATTAACTTACACTTTCAGAAACTACTGGGAAATTTACCAGCAAACCAGACCCCTCATCCACCCGGTCATTTTCCAACGGACACCCCTGAAACGAAAAGATCGGACATTACGGTCACCGACCCAACTCTGACTTGCGATACGGCCAAGACAATGCCTACCGATCAAGAAACCATCGAAGCGTTGAGGCAACAGGTCGAGGGCTTGAAGGCTCAAAACGAATCATTAGCTCAGACTCGTCAAGAAACCCTTGCCCTACAGAAATTAGTACGAGAACTGATGGCAGGAAAAGCATTTACTTCAAATGACAACTTACCTGTGAATCCGGAGCAGAGCGCTGCAGTGGGAGAATCTCACGAAGCGGGACCTTCTTTTGCCCATTACCTCAACACGAGTCCTTTAACACCTACGCCTTTACCTGGGGGAGGACCTGATTCGAGGAATCGAACACGGCAGTCAGAACGAGTCGCTCCTCTCCCATCAGGCGGAGCGATGCATGAAACAACGACTCCACTGTCAACAAACGCACCACCTGGACAGGCTCAGTATGCGCAATACTACCAAACCCCAATGCCAAACTTATCAGCACCTCCTACGGCAACTCCTATGACGGCAGATCGAATCAAACTAAGCGACTTACCGAAATTCAGCGGCAAATTCGGTGATCCAGCCGATTTATTTCACTGGCAAGATTTGATCGAAGAAACATTCGACATCAAAAACCTGTTGGACGATCGAGAACGTATCAAGTTACTGGGTTCGTTACTCAACAATGAAGAATTGTCTTCCTGGTATCAAGCGAACAAGGAAGAACTGCGTCAACAATCTTGGACAAGTGCTATGGAGCTGATGGCCACTGGTACATTACCTCATGCCTGGTTAGCGGACACCGAAGAGGCGTTACGACGACTAGAAATGCGCCCATCTGAAACGTTCGACGCCTACGTGTCTCGAGCTCGTCAACTTCATCGACTAGTAAAACGATTCAATCGAGTGACTGACAGAGGCCTAGCAGAATACGTCACCTGGGGGGCCCCATTATTGTTTAGAGACATGGTGGCCCGAGAAAATCATCTCAGAACACAACCGTTCAGCTTCCCGAAGTTCAAAGAAGCCGCAGACGGAATCTGGAAGTTCCTCACTGATGCAAAACTCTTGCCAGGTGGAGGAACACGATCGAGACCGAATCAATCCTCAGTCACAACAGGTCCAACAGCCGCGCCAACGTCACGCAGTCACATTCAAGGCAGGACTCGTTCAGAAGAGGAACGAGCCGATAACGCGTGGAGGTATCACGAGTACCTGAGAAGATCCGGCATTTGTCCAACCTGTAAGGACAAGTGCAACAACACCAACTGCACAAAGAAGAGTACATGTTTCCTTTCTGTACCGTCCGACTTCAACCCTGGACCACGACCAACCCGAGGGACAGCACCTGCCAACCCATCAGCTAATGCCACATCGGGAACTCCTGGCGCTCCGACTCAACGGCCTGCTGGACGACCATCAACAACTGCAACATCCTCTTGCGTCGCCGCGATTGAAACCTTCCCGGATATCTTAGCAGAGGACGTAGCAGCTTATGATGAGGCGGTCATGTTTCAAGAGAGACAAACTGAAGAAGAAGTAGAACAGGACGAACGGTGCGTACCTCCTACATCAACCACTCCAATCATCCTGGAGCTAATGTGCAATGGTAAAGCAGTACGGGCGCTTATAGATTCGGGAGCCGGGACGAGTTTACTGTCAGAGAAAATGGCGCATGACTTGCACATCTGTCGACAACCATTGGTAGCACCGGTAGAGGTACGCCTTGCGATTCCAACAGAAGGGGCACCATTAGTCCTGAAGGAATTCGCCATAGCTAATCTCAAATCTACTCAACCTAGCATTCGATTTGGAGCAGTTTTTTTTAAGTTGGCTCCTCTAGGCACAACCTATGACATGATACTCGGTTCTCCATTCTTATCAAAATTTAAGTTAGATGTTTCATTACATAGAAGAGCTGTATTACACACACCTAGCGGCAAGATCCTCTATGAAAAGAAAGTTCAATCTGAATTGATTCGAGTCCTTTGCGCTATCGAGAATCTTGAAAAGATTGATGTGATTCAAAAGTTGAATGAGCGGGAGATGTCCGTGCTGCGAGAATTTGAAGATGTGTTCCCGGCTGAGCTACCACCTGTTGAAGATGGGGAGCCACCGGATGAAGTTTTCCCGGAAGGATTACCGGATGCCAGTCGACAAGTTCGTCATAAGATAATTCTCACTGATCCTAATGTGACAATCAATGAGAAACAGTATGGTTTCCCTCGAAAACACCTAGCTTCCTGGCGTAAACTGGTAGATCAACATCTGCTAGCGGGACGTATCCGCAGATCCCAAAGCCAATACGGATCACCATCAATGATAATCCCAAAGAAAGACCCAGCTGAACTGCCCAGGTGGGTTTGTGACTACCGTACATTGAACAAATATACAGTCAAGGATCGTGCACCACTACCTAATGTAGATGAGGCGGTGAGATTAGTGGCAACAGGAAAAGTGTGGTCTGTAGTTGATCAGACAAACTCATTCTTCCAGGATAGGATGCGGGAGGAGGATATTCCGCTGACGGCGGTAAAGACCCCTTGGGGCCTGTATGAATGGACAGTTATGCCCATGGGGCTAACCAACGGGCCAGCTACTCATCAGGCTCGAAATGAAGAAATATTAGGGGACTTAGTGGGAAGAATATGTGTGGTATATATTGATGATATAGTAATTTTTTCTCAGAC